CTGAGCTTTCAAAGATCAGATGCAACATCTTCATGACCTTCCTATCATAAGGTAAAAGCCTGGGTTCTTGAATACTAGCCGTAAAATGTTACTAGATCTCTACAACTATTATTGGACAAGCCGTTCTCCGTTTTGCATTTTTTTTACTTTCCACTCAGAGACCGGCCAGGAAAAGTGAGGTGGTCTGTTTTTCTGTGTCAGGCCTCTTCTTTAAAACTCAAATGTGTAAGGCTCAAGTCGCTGAATACAAGTTGCAAACAAGTTGAGAGGGAAACAGCTCTGTATATAGGCTCTTTGCTCAGAGAGTCACTGTAAAACTGTTGCATGAAAGGTAAAGGTGTGTTAATGTCTGTTGCAAGCTTTAAATAAAATATGTGGAATGTCTTAAACAAGCTTCAGATCTCCATGTTTAATTTAGAGTGGCAAAAAATGTTCATGTGCACCATTGTTAGCTCTGCACTAATGTATTACTAGAATATAAGCAGCACTAGCAGAAATTAGTGTTGCAGAGGTACATAGTGTTTTGAACTAGCATAGCACTAATAATTACACTTCGCCACAGATTTTTAAAGGTTTTTTTGTTGCACTGAATGTTTTTCCACTATTGTATAAATAGTTTCTCCGATCACCTTTTGTATATTCAGTGCTACACTGAATAAATTATAATACGCTCTCTCTCTTTGTTTTCTCTCTCTCTCTCTCTCTCTCTCTCTCTCTCTCTCTCTCTCTCTCTCTCTCTCTCTCTCTCTCTCTCTGTTTTTATCTCGCTCTTTCCTTTCTCTCTTATCTCTTGCTGTTTGTATTTTAATGAAGTTGCTGTTTTTCTACATGGTCTGAGATTGAGTGGTAAAGGTCATCTAAACCCCTGATGATATTTTTTTCCCTCTTGTTTCTCAGAACATTTTAGTTGGTACTTTATGTCTCAGCCTTTGATGTTGATGCAGAGCAAAAAATATTTTATAGATTGCACATCACTGCTGTATTTTGATGTTACAGTCTAGTTTATCGGTTGGTGGATCATATCGGTCGAACTTTGAGGTCCTGAAGATTTGTTGGTATCTGTGAAAATCCCACCAGTGATGCACAGATGCGTAGAGATTTGTTTGATGTTGTAACAGACAGACGCCTCTAATGTGAGGGAAGCCACTCCTGAAAATGCTGAGCTGACATTCTCCATCTGTTCACAAAATGCAATCATGGATAAAATAACAAAAACATTTAAAATGTTTTTTTACATTTGGATTAAGAAGTTTCTTACGGAGCCCTGCTGTTGACATCCCATATAAATAAAAATAATGCATGGCCATGCCTTATTAACGCATATGAATAATTAAGTCATTCCCAAGCCTTACTAAGTCGTGGCTGGGCATAATTTTTTTTAAACAGGATGTCACCAGTGGGGCTCCGTAGTTTCTCAATGAACTGAGTCAGATTTCACAGTTCAGTGTAACTAAAACTATTAGTAACTATTTATTAAAACTCTTTTTGACTCTATAACATGACAGGGAACTACTCAATGTAGTGGTACATTATAATGCTATTATTAAGCCTTAACAAGCCAGTAGCTTGTAATTAAGAGGCTGTATTAATATTTTAATAAGCAATATCTAGGGAAACTAAACACTTATTTGTGTATTACATATCATAATCTTTTGCCTAACATTTCAGATGTCCATTATTATGGTGTTACTATGGCTGAATCTCAGCTGGCTCCCAACCCCCTACATAGTGCTCTGCATATATGATTAAACTATGGCTTTCACACCCAAGTAGTACACAAAATGTTGGGTAGGTGGTCTTGTGGCTTTGGCAAATATAAATGGCTTTCTATTAGGCATGTACAGCACTATTTGGGTAGAAAATGTTGTTTCATGCCCTACATAAAGCACGACACTAAGCATCTTTCAGAGAATATTTACTCATATATTGTACATTTTATTCTTATGGGCACCCATTAGAGTATTGGGTCTAATATTGAGTGTGTTCATCAATGAACTGTGTAATAAAATGTAATTAGTTACATTGTGTCCCATCAGAACTGTTTATTTTTTCTTTTTAAAGCACCAATTTGGTCGTTTATTTATTATTGTTAGTACCTCAACAGTAAGCCCTCAGTTGTCTCTAAATAAAGAAAAACTAACCTTTAGATTTCTACTCAACATTTACACCTATGAGGGTGTAAATCACCCTAGTTATTGCTTAGTAAACTAGTAATGAGCAGCCAATTAATTTCCAGCTACTGGCTTGTTAAGGCTTAATAAGAGCTTTCTGTGGTCTGTATAGTGTTCCACTGTACTAGAGTGTTCCAGGTCATATTGGCCAGTTATCTGAATTTTTAGCTCATTAAAATGCTCGTAGATATTGATCACATTTTCACATTTTCATACCGATCAGGCCCTGTCTTAAGTATTTGGCCATTGTACTGTGCTAAAGTCTTTTCCACAGTACTGAATGTATCATATTTGTGGGGTTCCTCTTGCGTATAGATGTCAGGCTGCTCCTTTTTTTTACAGCGCTTTACAATCCCTTTACAATCATTTGGTTTCTATAGTAACGTTTTCCCAGAAGGCTATTGTGCAAGTCATGTCCTTTTCCTGTCAGAGTGCTTCCTCACTCGTGTGTGTCAGGTGCTAGATAGGCGCACCTCAGAAAACTTGCATGCTCAACTTTAGGTTTGTCTCTGTCTTATTTTTAACATGGTAAAATATTAAAATACAGTTCTTACCTACATAGATCATTTTTACATTGTAGAATATGAGGTGTTTAGTAGGTAGAATTTACAGTGCCTGTTTACACTGTGGAATATTCAGTATACTTACATTGTAGAATGTTGTTCCACTTGTGTGTTTACATTGTAGAATATCGCTGCTGTCAGAACAAAACCTCGTATCTCCAAAATGATAACTTTACAGGATAAAGAAAATACATACTTAACTTTTAATGTAAGTCAGTACAACTAGACTTTTTTTCCAGGCAATGTTGGATCATTTCTTTTGATCCATTCATCATGAGTTTTGCACGCAATGTAAAGAGCAGCAGGCGTTTTCAAATTGTGAAAAACTGAAGCAACATAAATGGAGATGTATTAATTTTGTTCCGACAGCACTGATGCACTGTGTTTACATTGCAGAACATGTCGTGTGTATTTGAACCGTAGAATATATAGTGTGCATTTAGATGGCTGAATATATTCTGTATTGGCATTTTAGAATATACATCATGTTTACATTGTAGAATGCACCGTGTGCATTTTCATATTACAGTATTCATCTGCATTTATATTACAGAATATGCAATCTGCAGTTGCATTGCAGAATATCTAGTGATCGTTTAAATTGATGAAAATGCAGCCTGTGTTTACGTTGCAAAATATACATTGTGTGTTTACCTTGTAGAGTATGTAATTTGTCTGTGTGTGGTATATACGGTCTGTGTTTACAGTGTAAAAAATGCAGTCTGTGTTTTTTAAATTGCAAAAAAAAAAACTTGCAGTCTGTTTTAAATTGCAAAAAAAAAAAGTGTGTTAAAATTGTAGATAAAGTAGTGTAGAATATTTCTCATCTTTATGAATTGATGAATGTTTAGCAGAGACATTAAGGTGTTGCATGTTGTACAGAACAGTTTGTGTGATATCAGCAGTTAAGATGCTACACTGATCAGGGTTTGGACTTGGATCAGGTTGTGCTGCAGTAGCATGTAAGTACTCCTTTCTTTAACCATTAGAAGTCACTGGTAGTTTTTTCCCCTTATGATCTGATCTGCTCTGCTACTTAGTACTAAAGTAAAATCACTGTTTTTAGTATTTGCATAATATGACTAATGTTTTGTTTTTTGGTCTGACCTTTTTAAATTATCATTTTATAGTGTGTTTGATTTGGCTGTCAGATGCTTCAAAATGCTGGACAGTCAAAAAGGAAAATGAACTGTGATTTCTGACTCCTTCCAATGATGTAATGTAAATCAAGTGTAGAGCAAAACAACAAAAATAACTGAGACTTGTAGGCTGTGAAACAGTGAAGAACACTACAGCAATCAAAGACTTCTCAAACCCACTTACATGCAAAATAGTACTGTAGCATTAGTTTCACAGTTTATTCAGAGCGTAAACAAGCAGGGAGCTCTGCTGCAGCCTCCTAGGCGTGTGGGAAGTCTCCATTTCATGTTGATCTGAGACCAGTTTCTCTCTTTTATAATGCACAAGACTGCATAAGGAGCTGCAGCCCTCAGAAGGGTCCACACAGTCTGCGGATGCACTGTTTGTTGCGTAATGTTGGTTATATAATTGTTTTTTTTGTTATATTTTAATGCTGTTATGCATACACAAGTGTAAGTAGCATACACAATACATGATTGTGTTGTCTGGATCCACAGTCATTCCAAACTGGAGCAGGCATGTTCCTTTGGGGGAATGTTTTAAAATGTGAGAGAATGTTCCAGGTTCTGTGTTTCGGTTTTTATAGGTTCTGTGCTCCAAGTTCTGTATTCCAGGTTCGATGTTCCAGGTTCTATAAGTGCTGTGTTCCAAGTTCTATCTTCCAGGTGTTCTAGTTCCTATGAGAATTCTGTGGTCTAGGTTCATAAGTTCTAAGTTCTATATACCAGGTCCTGTGTTCCAGTTTTTGTAAATTCTGTATGCCACATTTCTATAATTCAGTAATTTTCAGGAACTATAAGTCTTGTGTTCCAAATTATATACTCCAGGTTCCATGTTCCAGTTTCTATAAGGTCTGCGTCTACAATTCTGTGTCCCTATTTCTATAGTTCTGTGTTCCAGGTTCTGTGCTCCAAATTCTGTTCCAGGTTCTATATACCAGGTTTTGTATTCCAGGATCTATAGGTTCTGTGTTCCAAGTTCTATGTTTCAGCTTCTACATTCCAGTTTATGGAATTTAGTTGTGTAAAGTTGTGTGCTCCAGGTTGTGTTTCATGTTTTGTTTTATTTTATTTTATTTTGTTTCGTTTATATTCTATGTTCTGTGTTTTATGTTTCTTTTATTCAGGGACCTGCTGTTTAACCAGATCTACTCGAGGCTGGCGGAGAACTCGGTGGCTAAGGGTGTGTTTCTAGAGAGTTTAGAGCCGTACATTCTGAGTGAGCGGATTGGCTGCCTGACTGCTCCAGTCATGCGGGACCTTCTTAGTTACTTCCAGGAGAACGGCATGATGGAGAGTGTGGAGGGCTGCCTGGTGCACATGGACATCACTAACCTGGATATACAGCAGGTGTGTGTGTGCGTGCGTGAGTGTGTGGTTTCCCCCCAGGGTGTTGAATGGCAAAATCGTTTAGCAGTCAAAATATGAAAAATGTTACATACAAGCTACAAGCAAGCTACAGCTCCTGCACACTGGAATGACAGTGCATGAAATTAAGACATTTAAACTTCACCACTGTTGTGCAAACCAGGCACTGGAGCTTAATTTATAGAAAGTAATTGCAGATAAATTGTAATCAAGAATTTGGTTAGAAAAATCATTAAGGGCTGTATTTGAGTTTGTAAGTGTACCATTCAACACCCAGTCCTTACAGTCATACGCAGAAGTTTGGGCGCCCGTGGTCCAATGACGAAATGACATAATGTTTGTTAATTTTCTATGTAAAAATATTTTCACACATCCTCTACAGAAAACACACTTCTCCACACTGCACACTTCTAAATTTTGTTAAATGTTTAACATGTTGGAAAAAATAATGGCACATAAAATGTAGCCTGCGCAAAAGTTATGGCACATTTCCTATTTTATGTTTTATTTTTTTTTAATATTATGGAAATTATGCACTAAAATTTGTTTCCTGTAGAGGATGTAATAAATGGATGACTAACAACTTTTAAAGGCACAGTAACACATATAAAAGCCTGTTTAACTCTAAGATGAAAGAGGCTGGAGTTCTAAAGGAAAGGTTGGAAAATTATCATATAAAAACTGTGACGGTTATAATACATGAACGTGACGTCCATAACCCACAGCAAGTGGACCTCAGGGGGGGAGAAATACAATGCAAGAAAAATTTAATGCAGGTCTATGAAACACAAAGAAATCTGTTGCCATTAGAAACTTCAGGATGCTGATTGTCCGTTGCTGTTCTTTCCCAATTCACTACTCAAGGCCCTTCATTTATAAAACCTAAAACACAGAGGCAGTGTGAGAACATCATTATTCACTTGCAATAAAAACTACATTGTCCATCATGCCTTGTTTTACATGGTAATGTGTTTTATGGATTGTGGGCAATATTGTGTGTTGGCAGGTGGTCCAGATGTGTTGGGATAACCAGCTCTATGATGCCATGATCTATGTCTTCAACAGTGGCATGAACGACTACATCAGCCCCATGGAGGTATCGCACACACAGCACACACATGATATGCACAACAAGTAGAGGTTTTTCTGTTTTAAGAACAGCTCAGATCTCCTAATATATAAATAATAGTTTAAACATTCATTTAAAACAAATGTTTGGGATATTTTAGCTGTGTGGAAAAGCGACTGGCTGTAATGGGGAATTCCATAATAATTAATTGGTGATGTAATTATGTAAATAGTTATTCAAGGTGGTTTGATGTGAAAAGTTCTGGATAAACCTAAGAGTCAGAAGTGTTCACAGTGGTGGTTTTAGGAACCGGACGTCTGAAGAGTTCAGTGCCTCTAAAAGCTCCCTCACTGAAAGCTATTATTAAATAACCATTATTTGCACCTGCTGAGTGGCTCACGGTGGTTGAACTTTTCTTTCTCTCACAGAGCCGCAGGCAGGTTTTTGTTCTGTCCCCCTTTTTGGCAGCTTTGTTCTGGGGTTATGCCGTGGTTTTTATAGTTGTTTGGGCCCATCTTGACCACACTAGTTGTATCCCCACTCTGTTTTCTGAAGTAAATAAGTTCTAAAGAACATTTTGGGCTAAGCTTAATTTGGATAGTGCACTTTAGATGCTTTGTAGATACTTAATTTACTTTCAAGTTACATTCAACTTAATACCTACTAAATTGAGCATAATTGTCTTTAACTCTATTCCTGGCTCTAAAGCTAACCTCAACCCAAAACCCAGAATCAACTGAGTTTCACAGATAGTTTACCAATTTTAACACCTGTAGATCTATAGGGGACTCTCCAAATAAAATGAGACCACATTTTGTAATGATAATAGACTGTCTGAATGATGATGTCACAGTGCTGGTGACAAATGTGGGAGCTCCTCCAGAACATGTGACATTTACCATCATCAACATTACTTATAAAAACTCAGACACATGTAGTAGAGGTCTGCACAGGACAGATGCAGCCCTAACAGCACCAGCGCTGAGAAATAAAATATTGGACATCCCAGGACGTAAATAAACTTTGTATTTGTCTTTGTGCTCTCCAAGCTGGGACTGACTTCTTTGGCACTGACAGTATAACATGTTATTAACACTACTTATAATGCAATATATTAACAATTCATAATGTATAATAAACATGGCTATAAAGTGTAATTCATTTTTATAAATATTTATAACCATGTTTATAATGCCTTATGAATGCATTATAACATGTTATGTGTTTGTAGATGCTTACAAACGTGACAATCAAAGAAAGTGTTACCTATTTAGGCTCTTCATTAATTTGCAGGATTTCTCTAAAAGTATGTGTTGTCCCGCTCCCGCCTACACTGGACTGGCTAACTGCCCCCTCCCATGCACCACAGTTAAAATTAGCGCTGTGTTGCACAGGTGCAGTGTAGGTTCACTGGTGGTATTGGATAGTAAATTAAATGACTATCACATAGGCATCAGAACTCCTGGTTCCTATCATCACCACTGTAAAGAAATCTATTTTCTTTACAGTGCACCGTCTCACATCAAACCACTGAATGATTATGATCACATCTCAATAAATGAACTGTGCAGAATTGTAGGAAAATCGGTGGAGTTTCCCTTTAACTGTGTGTGTGTGTGTGTGTGTGTGCGCGCATGTGCATGATGAATCCGCTATTAGCCCATGAGGAAGATGAAAGCGCTGTGGTTTGGTGAGATCCTCTGAACCTCTAGATGAAAGAGAATTGATGTAGGAGAGTAATTTGTGTCTAGGCCAAAATGTCACACACACACACACACAGATGTCTCCCTGCAAGGACTTTGATGCAGGTGAGGTAGTAAATTTGGTCTGCCCAGTGTTTAGGTTGTATCCTTAAGAGGGTTTGTTGCAGAACTTTATGTGGCATCATAGATAGGGGTGTGTGTGTGTGTGTGTGTGTGTGTGTGTGTGTGTGTGTGTGTGTGTACGTTTGAGTACACACACCCGCACTGATTGTGGATTGTGCTGATTTTCCATGGTCGAACAGAGTCATTTTTCTTTCTCTGATTTTCCTGGTTACAGAAACTCTTTCAGGTGATTGGTCCTCCTCTGCATGAAGGAAAGCCTCTCACAGGTACAGCTAGACTACATCTCCCATGATCCTCTGCACTAGCGCTTGGTGATATTAAATTCATATCATGGTGTTTTTCATATTAAAGCTTCAAAACACACAGTCCGCTCCTCAGTCCATATATCCAGAAGCATAAGAGAGTCTGCTTTTGAATGTATTGTTTTTGTGATGTCACAAGTGCCAACACAGCACGACACTAGCAGCCATTAGCCACACAAATATGAATAATATTATTTGCTTTTAAATGGGCAAAACTGGCATTTTCAATTCTTAAACCAAGGCTGTGTTCAGACTGCAGGTGTCAGTAGCCCAAAGTGGCAAAATGGACACTGCATGAAGACACTTGAAGCTCTTTTGACTTCTCTCGCTTTTTTTTCTTAAACGTTCTTGAAGCAAACCTGATTTTGAATAGCTGGTAGTTTGGTTCTCGTGTTAGAAAGCACCATGCTTATTTGTTTACACCAAATCCTCCACATCCTCCAAAGCGAAAGAAGATGCACAGCCATTGTAACAGGCATTTTGATGACGTAGCTTTTAGGAATTGTTCCTGCACATGCAAAATAAGGAAGAAAATTCTGTAATCATGTATTAGATACGTCTCAGAGTTAGGCCTGTAACGATCATAAAAGTATAACTAACGATTGATTGTCATGTAAATAATTGTGAGTAACTACTTAATTGGCTCATTTTATGCTACTGAAGTAACTAAGTTGGCTGATTTAGATGTTTTCCTTCCTTAACTTTGTAGCTAACAATCACAGATTTCTGCTGTTAGACAGAATCATGTCTACGGTCAGCCAAAGATTTTGTGTTTTTCTTGAAAATCTGAGCGAACAACACTTACTCTGCAAGCATATCTGCAAAAATTAGTGTTAGCTACTTAGCTAACAAACAAATAAAAACAAACATTTCCTTAAATAGTACCCTGCTAAAAGTCAGAACTTGTTTCTGTAAGGCATATAGCTCGTATCTGTTGTTTTCCCCTTTTTTTAAATTTTGTTTTAACTGACCTGCTGAAGACGCCTGATATTCTGTCTGTGATATGATATGGAAAATAGCTGTACAAAGTAATTGTGGTCAGCTGAAATAATTGCTATTATCTTAAATAATTGTGATCAGGAGATTAAGTAATAATTGTGATGGGCCCAACAGAACAACAGATCTGAATTGACAATATCAGATTCAGTGTGTTTTTTGCAGTTCACGCTGTCGCACAAAAATCTGACATTTACGTCACACGTGAAGAAAAAGATTGTATTTGGGCCACTTTTACCTACAGAGTGTGTGTAGACTAAAATTAATGAATCAAAGAAATCAAAAGTAAGAGGCAGCGCTTTTTGACACAGTGGGTCATTCAGAACTACACTACAGCATTTTGGTGCAGGTGTAGCAGCAGCACAGCAACAATACAGCGAGAGTGCACTTACCTGAATAGTTATTCACCTCATAAAACTGCAGCAGACATTGGTCAAAATCAGTAAATTGGCCGACTGCGGATCACGTTTGGAGAAAAAAATCTGCTGATCCCAGTCTTGGCCGATTCTAGTCTTACATTCCTGTTATACAGTGTTGTAAACGTTAATCAGAGCGGAAACTATTTAGTTTTTCTGTGAAATAAGACTGCATATAAAAAAAGATGAATGGCCAAGATGATGATTGCTGTGTTGTTGTCTTTCCACAGATGAACAGGTCGTCATGGGAAATAAGCTACTTGTCTACATTAGGTAAGAACTCACAACCTAGGGCTACCATATGCGAGTGAGCCCCTAACCAATCACAGTTTGCTGCGAGCATCCTGACCAATCACAGTTCAGGATAAGTCTTTGCACAAGTGTTTGGTAAATCAGGGCATCCTCGTCCAAGAAAATTGGAATATTTTGGTCTATTTTTAACCATCTCGCATTATAATTACACACATTCACCAATGCAGTTTTCATCTTGTTGATGCTGGAATAAAACTGTAGTTGGTGTTTTAAATATATATAATGTGAAAGTGGCAGCTGCCCTTTGTCTGGTCTAAAGGTTTCATGAAGAGGGCACCAATAGAAATGGTTCAAAATTACTTGGGATAAAATCTTGTTACATTAACTTTTTACAATATTACAATATGCAGTGATATAATCACGATACTAGAGTTCAGTTTATACGGTGCAGCCATAACTGTCATAAACACATCATATTTATGCTGTTTTTTTTCTCTCTGTTAGTTGTTGTCTGGCTGGACGTGCCTATCCTTTAGGGGACATTCCAGAAGACCTGGTACCTCAAGTCAAAAACCAGGTGTGTGTGTGTGTGTGTAAAACGTGTGTTTGTAAAAATATAACATAAAACGTAATTATGCACAGATTACACACATGGAACGTACACAACCTGTTTTGGAAGCACTTCACTCTCTGTCCCTCACATTAACGCTCCACTGCACACACTGTGTGTGTGTGTTTGTGTTTGTCTGTGTGGGTCCGTCATTGCTGTAACTAATTTGAGAAACATGAACAGAGTGTGAATCAGCACGATTGCTGTGCTGTGTGGAGGGAGAACAGTGGAGGGTCCACACTGTTGACAAAGAGAGAGGTGTGCATACGTGCGTGCAGTGCGTGCGTGCGTGCGCGCGCGCGCGTGTGTGTGTGTTTAATATTCTCTTTGCCTTGCTCTCAGTTGGAGGTCTATGGGGAGGGAGTTCCTCTGTGTTGTATCTCCACAAACGCCTGTTAAACAGATTCAGTCTGAAGCCCAGAAACCTGCAGAAGACCCAGACACACACACACACACACACACACACACACACACACACACAGTGTTTACGCTTAAAAGCACTCGAGTGAAAAGCATGGCATGGAAAAACTATGGGAATGATATATGGCTATTCTGTGACTTTTATGGGAATTCTGAAGGAGTTTGATCTGTGTTCTTTAATAACTCTGGGGGTTCTGTGGGAAATCTGGGAATTCTGTATGCATACTGTGTGAATTCCCTGAATATGCTATGAGAATTATGTGAGAATACTGAGGAAATTTTGTAGGTATACAGGGAGAACTCTGTGTGCTTACTCTGTGAATTCTGGGGATATTCACTTGAAATTCTGTCAGGAAACTGTGGGGAAATTCTCTGGTGATTATCTGGGAATTCAGAGGGTATACTATGGGAATTCTGTAGGTATGCTTTGAGAATTCAGTGTGAATACTGTGGATGTTCTGTGGGGATGCTGTGGGAGAATTCGCTGGGGATAGTTTGAGAACTCAATGGGTGTACAGTGGGAGTACTGAGGGAAATCTGTGGGTATACTGTGGGGATTCTATGAGTATACTGTTGGGATTTGTGGGAATTCAGTGGGAATACTGTGGGAGTTCTGTGGGGATGCTTTGGGAATTCCGTGAGGTTCTATTAGATTTCTGGGTGGGAGGCAGAGCTCCTGCTGGTAAATTCAATACAGGACTAAAGTGGTTGCTGCAGTATAGATTTGTTTTTGTTTCTGTATTATGTGTTTGTCCAGTGTACTGTTCAACTGTTCAATGTAGTTTTGTCAAAGACTTTGAGGTCATTTTTGGCATTTCAGACAGAATTGTTATTCAGATTTTTTAAGCATTATTAAAAAATATCTATTAAACCTCCACGCTTATGCACACACAAACATGCTCACAGTTACAAAGGCTCCTCTCAGGCACAACAGAAAAAAGCACAACTGAGACATTTGTATTTACAGTTTAAAGTGGCAAAATAAAAACACTGCTGTAATAACATTAAAGGGCCCAGATCATGGAAAACAAATTTTCCTTGCTTTGTGCAAAATGGTTTGATGTCGTATGTAAACACTTGAAGCTTCAAAACATTTTGTTCACAGTCCATATATGATAAATAACTTACAAACACAGCATGTTTTGAATTTCTATCACAAAAAGCAGTTTAGCCCCCCTATTAATGTTAGTTGTGAGGAGTGTTTCCGCCTGGCAGTCAGTGAGAGATCATTTATCCCGTATCAGTCTTAAAATCACAGTAACAGAAACAGCCTGTTTAATCGTAAGAGAAAAAGACAGGTTGGAAAATGGTCATGTGAAATGAAGAATGGCTTACAAACATCGTAAGTGGATTCAGTAAGATTAAAAGTGAAATATTAACTAAACACAAATGCCTGTCAGGGCGATTGTCATGTGGGCGATCAGGATAATATAATAACCAACCTCTGCAGTCTTGTTTCTCTCTCTCTCTCTCTCTCTCTCTCTCTCTCTCTCTCTCTCTCTCTCTCTCTCTCTCTCTCTCTCTCTAACCTGCACACATGCTTGTCCTTCTGTTTCCTGGCTGTAATCTACAGTAGCTTCATCAGAGCACTCATTAGGACCCTTTGTGTCTCTAAACAGCAGATAACGCTCACACCTGTCTCTCTTTTACATGCCCCACACTCTCTCACACGTGCAGCTGCTAGACCCGGGCTCTACCTGGTCTCCGTGGCAACCACACATGCATTTCATTGCAGAGGGGTTGAAATGAGAATGTATTTTGTTGAGGCTTTTGACCCCCAATGTGTTCTTTGTGAACCGTGTGAGTGACTGGAGTTACAGATGTACCAAATGTTGTGTCTGTTACTGAACGTGTGTGTGTTTGCATGTGTGTAGGTGTTTGAGTTCCTGATTCGCTTGCATTCAGTGGAGGCCACTCAGGAGGAGGAGGTGTATCCGTACATCCGGACACTGCTGCACTTCGACACACGTGAATTCCTCAACGTCTTGGCTCTGGTGGGCATCAGTCGAGCACTTCATTATTCAGTTGATCAACCTTGTGTTTAAAAGGCCCATAACTTGAAGTGTATTTATGTATTTGGCAGCTTATCCAGTTATATCATGTTGCAGATGTATGACAGTGCAGTGTTAGGAGTTATGACCAAGGACCCTTATTGGTGTGCTGTGGTGTGCTTGCCTGGGTGGAGAATCAAACCCCAGCCTGCTGCATGGAGGACAGCGCTGTTACCCTACGTTTACATGTAATATGTAAACATCGTGTTAAAAATGGACACTAAGCTACAAAAACAGCCTGTTTTTTAATCCATCATGGTTGTGATGTCACAACCACGAACCCATTTACATATGGCTGCACTTTCAACTAACCATTCACATTGATGTAATACAGAGTGTTGTTGGAGCTTTTGGAGTGGTGCATTAGATGATTAAACATTGTGCTGTTCAGGTCTATCAGGAAGCAAGTGAATCATTACAGCCTTTTAAAGGATCCACAAATCGATGACCTCCCTGACTCTTTTAGTCCAAGCTTTACTGTGTGACCTGTACATTTCAGCCCAGATTATCTTTTGAATGAGGCGCAATGCCAGACAACCAGAACATATATATTTACATATACACTACTGTTAAAAGTTCGGAATCATTTGTCATATTTTAATATTTTTGTGATTTTCTACACAATAATAACTTTATATAATGTAGATTTTAATATTATAAACAAGACAGGTGGGTAAAAGGTATCTTGACTCTTTTGGGATATCATGACTACTTTGGGATCAACAAAGATGTATTATATGGTAGATCATACACTGTAATTATCTGTTTACAGTCATTTTTGTCAGAATTTCAGCATCGATATTTTATCACCACAATGGAGAAATAAGGCATTACGGATGTAATTTTAGTAACTTAATTCTTAATGTTCTGCAGCTTTCTTGGTCATTTTAGAGTCTACAGCTATCTACAGCTCTGTTTATTCTTCTGGACACATCTAAAATGTTTTCTTTTTTACTTAGTGTTCTGCTAATTATTTAAAGGCTGTGAAGTTGCACAGGAATAGCAGATTAGAACCATTTTAGACATTTTTTGCAACCAATTTTTTTTCTTGTTCAAAACAACTTTTAATAGTGATTCCAAACTTTTAATCAGTAGTGTCTCAGGCTTAAAGGCAAACAGCCTGTTTAAAGAGGGGTTAGCAAATGGTCTTATACAGTAGTATGCAAAAGTTTGGGTGCCCTGGTCAAATGATGTTTTGCAGATTTTGAAGTGAAAATAAGTTATAATAAACACACTTTTGTACATTTTAACACACAGTTACTGTTTGTTTGCTGAATTTAACATGTTGGGGGGATAAAAAACCTGAAATGTGGCCTGTGGAAAAGTTATGGCACATTTGTTGCACTATTATGTTTTTATTCTATTATGTGTTAATAAATAGCAAATAGGGAAAAATTGTGCTCTCAATTTGTAGAAAAATGGTCATATTTAAGTGTGTTCTCTGTAGAGGATGTGTCAACTTATTTTCACTTCACCTTCACACCAACAGAACATGTAACACCAGGGTGTTCAAGCTTTTGCATATGACTTTTATCAGACTTATCTCTGTTTTTAGAACATCACACACGTTATAAGTGTACTTCAGTGGATAAATGTAGAGTGTGGGCCTTTTGGGTTTGCTTTTCATGATGAAGGTTTTGTCTTTTTCATGAAGTGAAGCTGAGCTCCAGGCTAATTCTCAGTGCTTAATCGCTTTGTCTCTTTCCAGACGTTTGAAGACTTTAAGAATGACAAACAGGCTCTAGAGTACCAGCAGAGGATTGTGGATATTTTACTGAAGGTAGACACTTTCCTTCTCTCTCTGTCTCTCTCTCTTTTACAACATTACACCCCTTTTTCACACTCTCACTTTTGCTCAAACAGGCACAAATTTTTCTTGTGTCTGTTTAAGTGCTAATGGCTATAGAGCACACCTCTCTCTCTCTCTCTCTCTCTCTCTCTCTCTCTCTCTCTCTCTCTCTCTCTCTCTCTCTCTCTCTCTCTCTCGATGGTAATCAGCTAAATGTAATCACTTCATCAGTGAAGGAGCTCATTGAGTCCGACTCAGCACCTGTTTAAAAAGCCTCCAGACTCATCAAACTCTGTTATTACAGCTCAGCCCTCGTCGCTCAATCACTTAGCACCATTCAACTAGTCTCTTCTCTCCTCTCCTTTTTTATCTCCTTCCCTCTCTTTCTCTCTCTCTAGTTCATTATTTAGTAATTGTAGGGCCCTGTGGATTCTGTTTTCACATTTTTCTTTCTGTAATTCACACATGGAAATAAAATGCCTATAAGTATGTATGTATGTATGTATGTATGTATGTATGTATGTATCCATCCAAATAGAATTTGACCAGGGGCACTCAGACTCTTATCTACTACTCTATTACTATGTAATCGTGCCCTAAAACACAAATGCGGATCCATTTCGGTCTCAGCCTGTTGGCAGCCAAGTTTAAGGTTGATTAAGCAGCTATTAAGAATGAAGTGGTCAGTTATTCAGTAATGCCAAGCAGGCAGTGCATTCATACTGTATAAAACTTCAACGCAACGGGACCACAAGCCAAAGAGTTAAAACTTAAACTGTTTACTCTTGTTTACACAAAGTGCTAAAAAGTGTACTTCACTTATTTTCAGTAAATATGGTCATGAATGCTGACAGTTAACAGCAAAGTCTGTAATTAACAACAATATATTATACATTTTGATGTAATAGTGAGTAGTAATTGTTATTTTTAATTTTCTCTCTTTTAAACCTACTGTGTTTGTGTGTTCCTTAGGTGATGGTGGATAACTCGGACTTCACCCCGTCTCAGGTGGGCTGCTTGTTCACCTTCCTCGCCCGCCAGCTGGCCAAACCTGACAATACCCTTTTCGTCAACAGGAAGCTGTTCGATCAGGTGACTTTCTCTCTTTTTCTCTATGTCTCTGCCCATTTTCTCACCCTGCCCTTCCCTCACCCCCGTTTGCAGGCTGCAGCCATGGCATGTTGGGGGTTAACAGAAACAGTGTGAGGTGGCTGTGGAAAGTGTTAATGTGCTGACAACATGAAGACAATTAGCAGCTCCTGTAAAAATAACTCTGTTGAATTAAAAGTGTGAGGCAGCGCTCAGAGGCAGAAAATGAAGAGATTGCGCTACAAGCTGAGAGGTGTTTAAAAATTAGGCCTCCAGGTGAAAACAGTTGTAAATCTGTTGACGTTGTTTGCACTTTGTTGTTGTCATTTGTTGTTGGTTTTACTTGGCCTTAAGGCACACTGTTGAAAAAGATGGTTCTACAAGGGTTCTTTAGGTAAGACAGTGGTTCTTTATAGAACCATGAAGACTCAAAGAACCATTTGCATGCCTAAAGCGTTCTTTGCATCGTGAAATCGTTCTTCAGATTGATGGTGGAAGTGTTGTATAGCACCAAAAAGGGTTCTTCTGTTTTTTGTCAAGCTTGTAACAATATAGGCACCCTTTTTGGTGCTATACAGAACCATTTACAAAAAGGTTATATATAAAACCAAATACAACACATTCTCCACCAGTCTGAAGAACCAGTTTCATGATGCAAAGAACCCTTCAAGCATGCAGATGGTTCTTTGAGTCTTCATGGTTCTAAATAGCCTGTATTTACTAAAGAACCCTTGAAGAACCATCTCTCTAAGAGTGCACTTATAATTGCTCAGACACAATATTGAGCAGTGTGACTAGTTTAAAAACTGTTTTTTTCCACTTTTCAAACTGTTAAGGCTGCAGCAATAGTCACAATACAGTGATGACTACATGCCAGTCATGATGTTAGGCACATCACCACCATTAAAGCATATTTGTGTTATTTTTATTTATTGATTTATTTATTTGTAAGAAAAGTCTTAAGTTTCATCTGAGAAGTACAGTGTAGGGCATACAAACTATTCGCTACAACTTAATGCCATGAACTAAAAGCTACAAACTAATGCTACAAACCAAAATCTACAAACTAAAAGCAACACATCTATAAGCTAAAACTAATGCCGTAAACTGAAAGCTACAAAGCCAAAAGCTACCAATTAATGCCACAAACTGAAAGCCACAAACTAATGCTAGAAATGTAACGCTACAAACTGAAATCCGCAAGCTTTAAGCTACAAATCAATTCCGTAAACTGAAAGCCACAAACTGTAAGCTACAAACTCAAAGCTACAAATTTGTAGCCCCAAATTAATGCCATAAACTGAAAGCCACAAACTATAAACTAAACTATGCTACAAACTCAAATCTACAACTTTAAAGCAACAAAACTATAAGCTACAAATTAATGCTGTAAACTGAAAGCTACAAGCGAAAAACTACCATTTAATGCTGTAAACTGACAGCTGCAAACTGAAAGTTACAAACTACAAACTAATGCTACAAACTCAAATGTAGAAACTAATGGCAACAAAACCATAAGCAACAAACTAATGATATAAACTGAAAGCTCCAAACCAAAAGTTGCTGATTAATGTCATAAACTGAAAGCTACAAACTAAAAGCTTCAAATTAAATGGTATCAACTAGAAGTCATACACTAAAACCAACTAAAGTTATGAAGTAAAGCTACAAACTTAAACCTACCAAAGGCTAGCAGCAAAACACTGTCAGCTAAAAGCTGCAAACAAGAAGCTGCAGTCTAAAAACTATAAGCTACAAACTAATACTAAAGACTAAAGCTACAAACCAAATGCTTCAAACAAAAAGCTTCTAACTGAAGCTACCAACTAAAGGCTAAAAACTGAAAGCTTTAGATTAACCAAATATAACTAATATATAACCATTTTTTCTCAGACTAAGTATGAGTACATATTTGTAGTATTCGCTGATTCCAAGTCTGATACCATACTGAATAACCTACTGAGAATTAAGTAGTTGTTAGTGTAAATGAGTGCAGTGTACCTTAAAAATTAAGTCATTGAAATCCAGCAGATTTTAAATGATGTGCATTAGCTAGTTACGCTACATTAGTTACCTTGGATTGAGTAGCTCTACAGTGGAGAAGAGCAGGGCAGAAAAGCGCTCTGAACAGCTGTAAATGAAGTATAAGTCATAGTTTTGCTCCTTATCTGTCAACAACAGTCTCTGTAGCACAGCGACAGCAGGAATGGCATCCAAGACTAGAGCATCCGATGAGCTCACGTTTCAAGTTTTTAAGTTAAGCCGTAGCTGAATGTTCTCTAAAGCAAACACACACAGTTTGGTTTTAGAAATCTTGTTCTTTGGTGACTCATGTTGTACGTTTGAATAGACCATCGTGTACAGATTTGTATGTGAAACGCAGCCTCTACAGACGGCTCTGTCAATAAAGCTGTTTCATTTAAAATAACACGCTGCGCACAGAGTACAGAGCAAACTGGCTGAGTTTAACATTGTGCACTGAAGTTAAAAGCCAGGTGGTAGTTGGACAGTACAGTCTCTCTAAAGCATATTTTACCATTATTAACGTTTATACCTGGATATTCTATTCAGTCTAACAGAGTAAAACATAGAGGGCTTTAGTAGCAGGTGGCAACGTTTTGGTCTTCGTTTAGTTGACTTGCGTGTCTCCACCTGTACTGGGGAAGCGGTTGTGATCATGTTTGTGTGTGTTTGAAATGGTTTAAAATCACACAGTGTATTCCTGTCAAGAATCTCCCAAGACAGAATGTTTAAAGTGACCGACTGCTTTGTGTCCCAACTGTCACGGAGTCAGTGGCACTCATTAGTGTGGCAGTGTACACTCGGCTTACTGGTGTCGGAGAATTTTTATGAGTACGAGTAAATGAGACACAGTATCGGCCCGATACCCAATACCAGAATCGATATCAATGCATCCCTAAATGTAACGGAAAGTTATACATTAACCTTTCAAAATCTCAGGCTTATTACATCCTAGGCTTATTATTCAGTAACTACAGGGACCTCAGTGCTAACTCCCTAAGCTATTCTTAGGTTATAGAAGTGAGTAATAAAACTTTGGGCCTGCTGGTAGGCCCTGGCCATTTAAGGGGTTAAAGCTATAAACAACAGTCATAAACTAAAACTGGAAATTAATGCTATAAATTAAACCTGCAAACACAAAGTGTCCAAAAAAGGCTACAAAATTAAAGACAAAACTACCTCCAGCCTGTCAAAATGAAAGCACTGATAAAGTGTATTTAAATGTACTTGGTTCGAATGTGTGCATCATTTCCACATGAATGAAATATATTACAGCAGCACAGTTCTGTGCAGAGTGGTCTAGTGGTTGCCATGCCAGTGTGCAATATGGCCCTGCATTAATCATTGCACCTTTTTATCCCAGTGAAATGCAAAAAGCAGTGCAGCAGCAGTCACAGACGTAAAGCACAGTTTTATGCTTTGAGTGCTGTTGATATTTTATGTTTCTTGGTATGTATCAGTAATGATACAGAGCATGCAAAAGACTAGCAAGTGTTGAACTAAGTTCACTTAATCCAAAGTAATGACAGACTTATTTTGGTTTAATAATGAAGTTTTGTAGGTATTCCAGCCTAATTATGCTATCCAGAAGCTGGTTATTGTTCTGTGATGCTGTGGAGTTGGTCTGTGACCCTATTTCATAGTGTTTCATCATATTTAAGGCCCATGTTGTATATTTTTCTTGTATTTTATTCTTTATTTTTCCTGAGGTCCACTTTTGACATTTGTGTGGTTTCATTTTTACATGGCCATTTTTCAGCCTATATTTATATTTAGAATTAAACAGGCTGTTTGTTACACTGCTCTAGGCTGAATGGGGCAGAAATATGTTGGGTTTTGTGACATCATAAAAACAGTGAATCCAAAACAAGCTGTTCTTGCAGCTTAATGTCCATAATTGGACTAAATGGAGTAAATGGTGCAATTTGAAACTTTAACGCTATGTCAAACTTTTTTTTTTTCCCCAAAGTGTGGAAAATCATTTCATATTTCATGAATCCTTTCATGTTGATATGTATATGTACCATATACAGTCTTAACCTGTATATCATAATACTGTGGTATGGCACCCAAATTTTGCGCTTTTGAGAATTTGGCACCATCACAGCCCTACAAACTAGCCTAATTTTGTGTGAGAGAAGTTTGTTTTGTATTTTTGATTGAGATGGTTGCTTGCTTGTTTGCAGGTCTTGGAGTTCCTCTGCAGTCCAGATGATGATTGCCGACACACAGAGAGACAACAGGTAAAATTTCAGGCTCAGAAGTCAAAACAAAGCTAGACAATATCAGTTTTTCCTATTATGTTCAATTTTCAAAGTGCACTAAATCCCACAGCCACTCTCTCTTAAACCTGTAGACTGTTCTACTGTGCCCTTTTAAAGCAGTAGTTCAGCGAAAAATCAAATTTACATAATTTCCCTCATGCAGTTGTTTTAAAAAAAGTGAACAAAAATACATAGTTTTGCTAAAAACAGTAATTGTGCCAATATTGAAGCCTCAGTTACATTTATAGGTAGCCGTATGTCATGCAGGGTCAGAAACCTGTCTGAGATTACTGACCGACTCGACACAGTTTGAGTCAAGTTTATGATGATTCAGGCATTGCTAACTGGTGGCTGTAAACGTCCATTGCTTGTTAGCTGCATTATCCTCGTAGCTACAGTGACAAACCGAAGCAAACTTCAGACACCTGACATGTCTAAACTGATTCACTCCATTTGTGATAAGCAAGAAAATTATGTACATTTGGCAGATTTTTTAGCAAAACATTCCTTCAAAGAAATGATCGTACATAGTTGCACATGCTCTGTAATTCCTTGAATGCGGCCATGTGACTTTCTGATGGAGGGGTTTGTTGTAACAGGTGCTGTTGGAGTTACTTCAGGTGGGAGGTGTGGTCCAGTTTGACGAGGGGCGGCTCCTTGCTTTGGCGGAGAAGGCGGAGTTGTAAGTGTTTGACCAAACAGAAAGAAGTGGGTAACACAAGCAAACAAATCATACAGCTTAGATATATAATGCAAAAACCTCTATTGACTCAAAGTGTACTCTGGAATATATGTATACCTAAAGGTATAACTGCAGCATCAAGTGGTTCTCTTAAAATACATCTGCTGTGAAAACCTCCAAGTACTGACAGACTCCAAAAGTTT